CTGGATTTGTTGCAGAGGTGGCATCCTATCACAGTTCCACGCTGGAGTTCACTGAGCTCCTGAGAGCGACCCATTCTTTCACACATGTTTGTAAAAACAGTCCGCATGCCTAGGTACTTGATTTTATACACCTGTGGCCATGGAAGTGATTGGAACACCTGATTGGGTGGGTGAGCGAATACTTTTGGCAATATAGTGTATTAAAGGAAGAAATTGGGAAACTAGAAAACCAGCTTCAAAAAAAAACAGAGAATGAATAAACTAAAGAAACATTGACTTTAGCTAAACATAAATTAACTATATTAGAACAAGATGATATTGCAAGAAACCTAAAATTTACCAATCAAAACAACTTTAAGCATGCCAACAAACCAGGGGGGTGGCAAGCTTATAAATTGGAAAAGGAAAAAGAGGGAAGGATAATACAGCAGCTATATGATGAAATGGGGAATTTACAAAATAATGAAGAAGAGAAAAGAGGATCACACAAAAAATATTTTGAGAATCTTTATAAAAAGGAAGAAATAATGAAGGATTATATAAGTAATTATTTGAAGGGGGAAGGGTTGTCAGCATTAGAGGAAGAAAAGAGAATAATGTTAAATAGAGAGATAATGTTTGTAGAAAAGAGGCAATCCAGAAACAAAAGAATAATAAGACCCTGGGGCCAGATGGCCTTGCAGGAGAAATTTATAGAAGTATGGGTGAATTAATAGAACCATTACTATTGGAAATATGTAATGAAGCATTGAACAAAGCAAAGTTACCAGAATCGTGGAGAGAGGCTTCCATCACTTCGATACTGAAAGAGGGTACAGACAAGAATCAAATTTGGAACTATAGGCCAATCTCGCTCCTAAATGCCGACTACAAATATTTATGAATATTATAGCAGAGAGGTTGAAAAAATTATTAAATGAAAATATACACCCCGATCAGAATGGATTTCTGATCCTACAAGGCAAATAAGCGACAACACAGGAATAGTATTGAATATATTGGAATACTACAAAGCCCATCCAGAAAAACAAATGGCACATGTTTTTCTGGATGCCCAAAAGGCCTTTAATAATTTAAATTGGCAATTTATGATCCAACAAATTAGAAATATGAACTTTGGAGACAAATTTGGAAATATCATAGAAGCTATATGCACTACTCAAAAGTCAAACGTAATATTAAATGGGGACTCTACAAAAACATTCCAAATAACGAAAGGAGTATGCCAGGGATTTCCATTGTCACTTCTACTCTTTATTCTGACACTAGAAATACTATTAATTAGAATTAGAGCGAACCAAGAAATAAAAGGAACGAAGATCAAAAAGGAGGAGTATAAAGTTCAGGCCTTTGCCAATGACTTGGTATTTTTTATCAAGGAGACATTAGAAATTGGCCCCATCTTATTACAAGAAATAGAAAAATATCGAGAAGTATTGGGACTTAAAATTAATAAAGAAAAGACCAAAATTTTAGTTAAAAATTTAACAATGAATCAGAAAAAAGAATTAGAGGAGGAAATGGAAATACAAATTACTAAGATTAAATATTTAGGAATCTGGTTAATGGCAAGGTGCTCCTCAATAAAAGATGACAATTATATAAAATTATTTCAATAAATAAGGATTTGGAAAGGTGGGGAACACTACAATTATCTCTGTTAGGAAGAATAGTGACTATTAAAATGAATATCTTACCCAAACTATAACCCACCCATCCCCAAACACATCCTTGATCTGACCAACCACTGCCTATCCAACACATACTTCATTTATAATCTATTTCAAACAATCCCTATAAAATTGGATAAGAGGTTTTTTACAGATGTAAACAAAATAACCACAAAATTTGGTCAGGTAGAAAGGCACGGATAAAACTAGCTTCACGTCAGGATAGTAGAAGTAGAGGTGGCTTTGGACTCCCGGCATGGGACCTCTACTACAAGGCAGCGATATTAATATGGATTAGAGACTGGGTATTAAAAAATAGAAGAATTTTAACATTGGAAGGGCACGATTTACAAAAGGGGTGACACACTTTTCTGTGGGATAGGAGAAATAAAGCACATTTGTATTTTTACAGACACAAAATAAGAGATGTGTTGATACAAACTTGGGAAGACATAAAGAGAAAACACTATATGAAGATACCCAGGTGGCTATCCACCATGGAAGCAATGATCTACCCCAATACATTAGAAATAGGTAAAATGTTTAGATACAGTGAAATTTTAGACAGCCAAGGGAAACTCAAAAACAACCAGGAGCTAAAAGAACAAGAAATATGTATTGACATTTGGCCATATTTACAGTTACAAGCTAGTTACAAAAAGGATGCAGAAGAATATGGATTTGATATTTAACCACAACAATTACATAAACTGTTGTTAGGGCCAGAGGGGAAATGAATAACCAAATTATATAATTACCTACTAAAATTTGATGGGGGCAGAGGAGGTTGTAAAAGAATCCATGATTGCCTGGGTCAAAAATTTGGGACATAACATAGAAGTAGAAAATAGGGAAAAAATTGGAACAAAAATTATACAACCACGAAATCTATAGCTTATAAAGAAAATCAATATAAGATGTTTTACCATTGGCATTTGACACCAGCAAGACTGGGCAAGATGTATCCAAATTTAAACCCAAAATGCTGGAAATACAGACAAGGACAAGATACCTTCTTTCACTCATGCCCTGAAGCGAAAATGTATTGGCTAAATATACAGAATTGGCTGCAGGATTTAATTAAATGTCAAATAGAATTCAAACTGGAAATGTTTCTCCTGGGGATAATTAAGGCGAAATACAAAAGAAAGTTAAATTACTTGATGTTACACATAATAACGATGGCAAGGATTGTTTTTTGTGCAATATTGGAAGAAAGACAGTATTCCACCAGAGGGATTAGTAATCCCAAAAATATTTGATTGTGCAGAAATGGACAAACTCACATTAGAGTTAAAGGGAAAGGGTGATTTGGAATACTATGCGGTTTGGGAGAAATGGTATGAATGGATAGACAATCAAAATAAGAATTGAAAATGTACATAAGGTTAGAATGTTTGGAAACAGAATGTATATAACGTATCGAATATTGATTCTAGTTATTTGAATAATGCCACAGATCTGTTAAATATGTGATTGAGATATATAAAAAAATGTGTAATAAAAATAAATATTTTAAAAAATCAGAATTTTCTTAGATAAGATTTTGTTAAAACTATTTCAGGAACTGAGTACATTTAATATTTAGAATTAGGAAAGCAATGGGTGATATACCTTTCAAAGCTACAGAAAAATTAGGCATTATTTGAGAGGCATAGATTGCTCATATTCTCCAGTTTTAATAATAATGTATTAAATTTATACAGTATTCTGCCCTACTGTACAGGGAATAGGGGAATTGTAGATATGTGAGGTTACATAATAAATAAATGAAAATTGTCCTGATATCCAATCACTCTTAGAAAAGTTATATTTTGTGGATGTAAACCAGTGGTAGTCAACCTGGTCCCTACCGCCCACTAAGTGGGTGTTCCAGCTTTCATGGTGGGCGGTAGGGGTTTGCTGTAACTCTGCTTTATAAATTTTATAAAATAAAGTTACTTCCCTACTTTATAAATCACCATTACTGTGGAACCGGTGGGAGGTTAGAAAATTTTACTACTAACAGAGATACAAAAGTGGGTGGTAGTTATAAAAAGGTTGACTACCCCTGATGTAAACAAATCAGTCAAAATAGCCTTGACTGAGCTAAAACAAAAATAGACTGGCATTTAGAACTTTTTCTTGCATTTCTCTAATTCTATTTATTTTTTGATTGTTTAGAAACTGATCTGAGATATTCCAGTAAAAAAGCAGTTTTCATGCATGTAAACATTAATTATTTGCTTTTATTACTACTGAGATAAAAAATGTTTTTCAGACCCATGTGATGAAACTAAATCCCAATGACCAATTGATAGAATTAGCACCAGTTCAAAAACAAAAGGTATTGTCGGATTGTTTATATATTTCATGTGGCTTACTTTTCATGTTTTTTGTACCAGTAGATAAAACCTGGGGAACCACTGACCTGCAGATTCAATGCACTCTCAAAGGTTTTAACTTGCCCATAGCATTTCAGTTGCAATCCATCTTTCCCATGATCCCTCTCCATCTTGCCTTTTTCCATCTTTCTCATCTTTTATCAAGTGTTTAGGAGAAAGTTGGAGAGTGATTGTTTCCCACCTTCTTTGAAAAACAAGTGAACTAATCCATTCTTTCCTGTGTGCAAAAAAGGCCTTAAATGACCCTCTTTTCCCTCCCTGTGTGTGTAAGCAATCATTTTCTCAATCTGATGGATTTACAGGAGATAGGATTTCAGCAGAGGGATCCTTCCAACCCCAAAGTTCTGTTCTTTGATTATATAGGTTTGAAATGAATAATTGTTGTACAAAACAAATGATGCACAATTTTGAGTGGCCTCAGAATATTTTTTCTGCATTAACACAGATTATGTAAATCTTTATTTTCAAAAAGCAGTTTGAGCCACCTACCTTAATCAGTTAACAATAAAAAACAGTTCTGTTTTTGAAAATATATATTGTAGAACATGATAGTATTTTTATTTTTTTTCCTGTTTACCAGATATTACAATAATAATTTAAGATTATATTAATGCTTTAACTTGGCAATAATGTGAGAAAACAAATATTGCAATATTTCTTTGCATTGTTTTATTAGCTGAAAATTGCTTTCTTGCTTACCTCAACCAAGAGGTTAAGACAAGTCAGTTACTAGAAGAGGTAGAATGCAATTTGCATAATTGTACGGGGAATAAAAATTCAACCCAAGATACCCATAATATGTCAGTGAAAGGATTAACATGCTGTGTTTCCAGTTAGTACTGCTAAAATTTTAAACTGCCTAGTGCTCAAAGTATTGTTTTACTTAGTTTCATGGAAAGTACTTCTGTATAGGGGCAGAGGATGGGGAGGAGAGTAGGTACACACTAATAACTTTCTTATGAATCTTAAATTCTAGATCAGTGTCATAATCCAAGTAATTATCTTACAAACATGGAATTCTCCCATTATTAGAAGCCACCAGTGTTATATAAAAAGAAATATTGATGAATAGTAATATTTGTATGCTTTAAATTCAATACAATATTTGCATTCTTTACATGCAATAAAAGTAAGTTCTTTTGTATTCATGCATGCTAGAGAAGTGTAGCTGACAAATAAGACGAGTATATTTTAAAATTGAAAATCAGAATTGGCAAGTGTATCATGTGAATGTAAATGTAATCTGAAGAACAAACAAGCAGATTGGAATGTCTTATAATACTAAATTTTACAACTATTTTGTAGATTAATGTAACAAATTTAAAAAAATGTGGAATGTACTTACAAGTAGTTCTCCAGTTATGACTGTTTAACATTTTCCCAATTATGATTAAAAAGTGCTTCACAGCCCATAAAGTACTGCTGCCATCTGCTATAGAAAATGAGATTCCCTCCTGACAGGCAGCTCTGAAGGCAAAAGGGCTACTGCCAAGGGGAGAAGAATTCCACTGTTAAGCTGCAGAAACAGAAGTCAAATCTTAAAGATCTGAGCTTCATTTTGACAGCCCTTCAAAGGCATTCGCTTTAGAACACAAATTATAAGCTAACACGATCAGCACTTAAATAAAATATATACAAAATGTTTTATCGTTGGCATTTACCACCAAGAAGATTGGCTAAAATGTACCCAAACATGAAGCCGACCTGCTGGAAGTGTAAAAAAGTACAAGGGGCTTTTTATCACATATGGTGGACCTGCCCGGAAACACAAAATATTGGATAAAAATTTGGAAATGGGTACAAAAAATTACAGGAGAATAGATAAAATATAAACCCGAAATCTTTCTGCTGGGAATAATCAAAGGGAAATATACAAAGAAAATTAAGTACATATTAACACATCTGCTAACTACAGTTAGAATAGCATTTGCCCAATGCTGGAAACAAAATAATAACCCCTTGGACGAATTAGTGATAAAAAGAACTTTGGATTGTGCAGAGATGGACAAATTAACACTGAAATTAAAAGATAAAGAAGAGTCAGAATATTATGAAATTTGCAACAATTGGTACAAATGGCTGCAAAACAAGAATAAAATTAATTAAGACAAAAAACAATATATATAAATATATATGGAATTGTGTATAAAGGTGTGTAAATATAGAAGCGAAATATTATATACATGTACAGGTATGATGATATAATAATGTTGATATAATGACTGTAAGGTGTTGTAGAAGGGAAAAAATAATTTTAAAAAATATGCTAGTAAAAAAGGCATTCTCCACACACAGAAGGGAGACAAACTCTTCCAGTGGGCTGTAGGGAGAGAGCTAGGATCTTGAATTGTTCTACTATCTGAACTATTTCTCCACACTGCAGGAGTTTGTTTCCCCTCTGTGCATGGAAGAGAACAGATCTGGTGGATTGCCTACCAAAACAATTCTCTTCCATCCATGGAGGGGAGACGAACTCTAGCAGGAGTGAAAAATGAAGTTCAAGATCCCAGCTGGCAGCCCACCAGAGCAATTTACTTCTGTGCATGGATGGAAGATGAGCTTGAAAGGCAACTCCTTTACTCCATTTTAATGATTCAGGAGATTAGGAGTATGCCATTTTGCAGTCATTCATGAAGCAGTCAGATAGGTGACTTGGTTAACAACCATTTTGCTCAACAACTGAACTTCCAATCCCAATTCTGATTATTAGTTGAGGACTATCTAATATGACATGAGGATTATAGTGATAAAACTAAAAGTATTTGATGAAAAAATATTTCTGTTTGCACAAAAGCACTTATCTTGTCTCCAGGACAGGTCAAATTCTTCATTCCATTATAATTTCTATAACTTGATTTACCCTGACATGTTGACTCTGTTAACATGCAGAAGTCTATTATTATAAAGCATAGGAACCTGAAGAAGAGAAAAGAGTGTAAGGGTGTCTAAAGTGGTTCATGCTTTTTTAGATGTTAGTGTTACTGTTTTAATTTTTTGCTTTTGCTATATTTAAGTCTCTTCTCTATTCTTTTATTGTCTGCTATTTTCACCTTCTGATGCCTTTTTATTTGCCCTTACTTCATTCTTAATTCTCTTCTTTCTTTCTTTTTTTCCTTGCTTCTCATGTGGATTAGAAGAAAAATAAAAATATGAAACTGACAATTGATGGTAAGGGTGGGTTGAAAGACTCTGATCGTACCCAGTTTCAGGATTGCTTAGAGTCTGATAGATCATCTTCTCATTTGGAGTCTTTGGCATCAAAAAGCTTTGAAAAAGGTTTCTGTACCAAAAAAAATAGCTATGATGCTTTTGTGCAGAAAGTTAAGCCTCATAAAAAGTATTCAGGAAATAAATATGAACAGCTTTCTATTATTTCATTGAATTATGATACTCAACAAACTGTAAAAGAAGAATTTAGAGTGACAAAAAAGAAAAATATTGACAAAATAAATTCTGGCCCAACTCAGCAAGTATTACACAGCCATTCTGGTAATGATCAACTGGAAAAACAACATGAAGATCATCAAAAAAATAAAGGAGAAGCTAAACCTGATCAATATATTATGCAAGATAACAACAATAGTGAAAAACCAAAAGAATTTAATCACAAAGAAAGAATTACAGAACAAATAGTAAGAATGCCATCTTCCTTAAGTCAGGAAATGATGAATAATTCAGCAACGTATGTTTTTGAGATGAACCAATTTAATTTTGAAAATGTGACAACTACTGAAACAAGAATAGAAGACAGAAATAATAAATGGGAAAGCAATCAAGTTGGTTATAAAGAAAAGAAAAATTTAAATGTTAACAATATGCAAAATGAAAAGAAAAATATGGATGATACATCGGAGAAGGATACCCCGGAAGAAAGTCCACAAAATTACCAAGGCAATGAAGAAGATGAAGTAAGTGTGCAAGAGGCTGAAAAGGAAGATGGTGCACAAGAAAAAGAAAGTGACAGCCAAGAAAAATCTGAAGAACAGGAAGTTGAAAATGAAGCAGATGAAGGCATGGTGGATGCTACAATAGACACCAAGTGTGATGGAGAAAGTGAAAATCATGAATTACAACCTGAAACAGAAAATGAGCAGAATCTGAAGGAAGAGGAGAACTTTCAGATAAGACAAAAGAAAGATGACACATATAATAAACTGCAAGAGATAGAGGAAACAGACATATATGAGCCAGAAAATGAAGGAAAACCTAGCATTAAGAATGACCAAATTAAGGACAAAGTGAAAAAAATGGAGAATGAAAAAGATAATGAAATGGGAGATGAGAAAGAAAACAGAAAAGATGGGGAAGTAGAAAAGGACAACGAGCAAAATTATGAGGAATGTGAAGATGGAGAGGAAAGTGGTGATGCTATAGTAGTAAAGGAGAACAGCATAAAGGAAGAGGAACCTGAAGAACAGAATCAGGAAGACACCGAAAGAGAGGAAGAAGGACAGAAAAAGCAAGAGGGAGAAATTGAAAGAGAAGTAGATGAAGAAAGTGTGGGATGTGAAGAAGAGGAAGAAGATGAGGAAGAGGGAGACAATGAAGAAGTTCAAAATGATCCAGATATTTACGAAGGGGGGGAAGAAGAAGAAGAAGAAGAAGAAGAAGAAGAAGAAGAAGAAGAAGAAGAAGAAGAAGAAGAAGAAGAAGAAGAAGAAGAAGAAGAAG